ACGAAAGAAAGGGAGTGAGTCAGTGAGTGAGCGAGCGAGCTTGGGGCCTAGCTGTTATCCACAGGAGTTATTGTGTCAGTGTGTGTGTGTAGCAGCCAGGTTCTCAACGCGCTCCCTGCACTGCTGGTGTGGGACGGGAGCACTGTGCTGGTGCAGTTAGCCATCGCTTATCATATCGCGCTGCAGAGCTCAGTGAGAGTGAGAGTGAGAGAGTGTGACAGAGACACAGAGAGAGAGAGAGAGAGCGAGAGAGAGGCTGGTTGAGGTGAGAATGAGGACAGAAACGGTGTCTGCTACAGCGCTCGGCAGCACTGGCTTTCGCTACTTCTACTCCGTCTGCTTCTTCAGGCTCTTTGGTCCCACTGGCCTGTGAGTATGTTGTGTGTTGGGGGAAACGGACGCGGGCATTTGCATGCTAAAATGCTAATAGCTCAGCGTGTTGTTTGTGTGCCGGGGCACTGCAGTAGAATAGAGCTTAAAATAGACTGCAGGGAGAGAAGGGGAGGGAGCGAGGGAGAGAGTAGCGGCTTGGAGCAGGAGAAGGAGGGGGGAGGGCGACATGTGCGTTTGTTTTCCTGTTAGCTTTGTTCTCCCTGTTAGCGCTTTTAGCTTTCAGCTAGCACTGTACTCTGTTAGCGATATGCTCCCTCTGTTAGCGTTGTTCTCCTTGTTGGCTCTGCGTTAGCTCAGCGTTAGCTTTGCGTTGGCTCAGCATTGGCTCAGCGTTAGCTCCGCACTAGCTCAGCGTTGGCTCAGCATTAGCTCAGCGTTAGCTCAGAATTAGCTTTGCGTTAGCTTAACATTAGCTTTGCTTTAGCTCTGTGTTAGCTTCACTATGCGTTATCTTTGTTCTCTATATTAGCGCTGTGCTCTCAGTGTTATGTCTGTTCGCACTCTTCCAGCTCTGTGCTTCCTCTGTTTGATCTGCTTTAGCCGTTAGCTCTGTGGTAGCACTATGTTAGCACTGTGTTAGCTCTGTGTCAGCACCTTCTTAGCGCCGTCGTTCTTCCTTTTGTGTGCTGTAGTCAAGATGAAGGCGAGACGGACGGCTTCCCGGAGATCCAGCCGTCTCCGCCCCCCTCGCCCTTCCTCTCCGCCATCCTGGCCGCCTTCCAGCCCGTTGCCTACGACAACGAGGAGGACGCCTGGCGATGCCATGTCAACCAGATGTTGTCCGACACGGACGGTTCCTCGGCCGTTTACACGTTCCATGTGTTCTCTCGACTCTTCCAGGTGAGAGGAGGATGGAGCGTGTGCGTCTGTGTGTATTGTTTACTGTATGTCATCTGTATTCAGTCCTTGGCCCCATGTCCTCCTGCAGGTAGTGAGTGTGTGTGTTGTTGTTGTTTACTGATGTTGTTGTTGTTTACCACAGAACATCCAGAGGAAGTTTGGCTCCATCACCCACTCAGCTGTCAGGTTCCTTGGGGAGGGGCTCCAGCGAATGGGCAACCAGTTCCTCAGCTCCCTGGAGGTCATGACCTCTCACTCCCACTGTCCCACCGTGCTGCTGGATGCCGAGACGGTGAGACTACGAAATCCCCACAAAAGCCCAAAGCAGAAAGGCAGCTTTTTTTATTTTGAAGCTTTTTGGACTAAAAATAATGACATGACAGAGTCTTCGAATACCGCTGCACTGTGTTTAGTTTCTTCGGCTTTCTTCAAAGGCACGAGTCAAAAAAAAGTTGTATAAGTCACACGTACTTCAAAACAAGCGACAATCTGTTGCTTTTTTACTTTCAGTAACTGATCCTACCTGGAGCATCATGGGAATTGTAGTTTTACCATTCTATGTAACGTATTATTGTCGTAGTTTCAGGAGCTACAGTAAGCTTCAACTTAATTAAAAGATTCATATCCTAATAAGTATTTTGTCTCCTCTGTCCTTTTGCCTCTCTTCTGTTATGTCCTGTGTGCTGTCTCCCATGCCTCCTATCTCCTGCCTCCTCTATTCTATCTCCTCTTTCCTCTGTCTTATCTCAGCTGTTGTCTTGTGGTCTTCTGGAGACGTTAAAGTTCAGTGTGCTGGAGCTACAAGAACACCTGGACACCTACAACGGCAAGAGAGAGGCTGCTGAGCAGGTGAGCACCTTCATCGTCGTATCATCCTCCAGTCACCCATCACTGTGGATACTTGGATGTTAATAAAGCATTGGAGAATGGAAGAAAGAAAGTGACTGTGTGTCTGTCCCAGTTGGGGTTTGTCTGTCAGTCTCTCTTCACTGTCTGTCTTTGTTTCCTTCTCCCTGTCTGTCTCTCCGGCCTGTATTTGTCTTTCTGACACTCTCTCTCTCTTGTCTCTGGCCATCTATGCATCCGTCTGTCCCTTTCTCTCTCTTCCGGTCTGTCTCTGATTGATTGTCGATCCATTCGTCCGTCTGTCTGGGTGTGGCGTGAGTTATCATCATTCTACGTCAGAAGCAACATCTCCCGCCTGGCAGATAAAAATAGTGCTGTGCTGCTAAACGAGTTATAGTGGCCTGGTGGGTGGGGGGGGGGGGGGTCCTAGAGGGAGCAGATGAGATTGCAAAGGCTTCTGGGATGCGGGGGAGGCTAATTGAATGAGGCAGCGCCGGGCTGCCCCCTCCCCTCTTCCCCTCCCCACTATCTCCCCCTCCCCCCCTGCTCTGCAACAGACCTCCTTTAATTCGCTAAGTACAACACTTTTATTAAATCTAGCCCCGCCCCCGCCTCCTAGTGCAGTATCGCATACGCCAGACACCACGCCACACACACACACACGTGATGGGGGGAAGGGGAACTTTTCTTGAACTGTTATTGGCTTTTCTCCCTGTCTCATCACTCACCCATCTCTCTCCCTCACTCTCACTCTCGCGCTCACACTCACTCACTCATATCCCCCGCCCCCCCCCCCTCCCCTCCTCTATGTTCATCACTATGTGTCTCTCTCTGTGTCCCAGTGGCTGGAGAACTGCAGGAAGACGTTTGGAGATAAAGATGGCTGCCAGCGGGGGAGCACCCAGGCCCAGGTAGGGACCAGAACCATGCCAAGTTGCATCACATCTCCAACAGGGCTTCAATAGACACCGCTGGTTTGAATAAAGACCGGATTCGAATAAAGACCAGATTTGAATAAGAACTAGATTTTAATAAAAAGCTTATTTAGATTAAGATTTAATATAAATAAATTTGTACCTGATGTAAATGAAGACCCGCTTTGAATAAAGACCTGCTTCAAATAAAGGCCTAAAGCCCTTAGTACCTCATTTAAATAAAGACCTTATTTAAATAAAGACCTCATTTAAATAAAGCTCGCCCCTGCCAAATCACTTGTCTTGTCTGAGGCCTAATTGGTCATCAGTTCCAGGAAGAGAGAACAGGAAATGGCAGAATAATCCAATCAGGGCCCAGGCTGAGGGATAAGGAGTACAGGCAGAGGAGTGATGTCCCAGGCTGCCTAACTGCTATCTTACTGCTAGCATCTTCTAGCTGTCATCTTTTAGCAGCCATGAGCTGGCAGACGACTACTGCGAGATAGAGAGACATTGGTTGATCAGACTTGGACACGCCTCCTCTCTCTCCTACTGTACATGCTGTCTCGCTGTGTCTCTCTACCCTCCCTTTCTCTCCGACTGTCTTGACGCGTCTCCCCTCCCTCTCCCACTGTACACACACTGTCTTGCTTTATCTCTCTACCCTCCCTCTCTCACTGTCTCGATGTGTCTCTACCTCCTCTCTCCTACTGTACTCACCGTCTTGCATTATCTGAGTTTTTTTTTTTTCTGATCACCTTGTGCCCTTGGTTCAGATGAGCATGAGGGGACCAGGCTTTAGCTCCTCCGCTGGCCATCAGAGCTCTGACTAGACTAGTGCTCGCTCGCTCGCTAGCCGAACACTCGCTGGCTAGAGGAGTGCTGGCTAGCTGAATATTCGCTGGCTAGCAAAACGCTAGCCAGCCGAAACACTCACCGGCTTGCGGTGTCAGCGCTGCCGGCCGAACACTTGCTAGGTGGCACGGTGCTATGTTAGCCGCTGTGTTTAAGCACACTAATTCTTGATTCTTCTTCCTCTCCTGTGTTGTTTGTTGTTTGTTGTTGTTGTTGTTGTGTGACCTGCTCGCCTTCTTGCTTAGCACATGGAGAATCTAGCAGTAAGTGGTTCTCATACCGTGAGCTCTTATCGTCACCAATCACTCCATCCAGACCCAACCTCTCCGACCGTATCATCTCTGGCTTCGTCCGACCGGCTGCTCGGCAGACCCGCATCCCTCTCCGTCTTTATTTAACCCGGCTTCGCTTCCCCAAACCCAAGCCTAGTAGTCTTGCTCGTTAGTGGCTCCGTTAGTCAGGGCTCCTCCGCTCATCTTCATCCTCCTCCTCCCTGTTGCTGCTGGTGGTGGGTGGGGGGGGGGTGTTGCCGTGGGTTACCAGGGAAGAAGGATGAGGGAGAGCATCGCCGTTAGACTTGTTTTCATCCTGCATGCGTTACTCCCTCCACCGTTGCGGTGGTTTCCTGTCGTCATGTCATCCCGGATTTAGACGGTAGCCCGGGTAAGGGAACGGGATTATTTTTGGGATGTTGTGGTCGTAGGACACACCCGTTGCTCGCTGCCGGCGCTCGGTCACATTAACCCCTTCATCAGCCGTCCATCCTGCTCATCAGCTCCCCCCCCCCTCTCCTCTAATCCAGGATCCACATCTTGTCTAATCATGTGACCCTGTGTGTTCTGGGGAATTTGTGTGTGATCTAGAATTTATTTTCTCTCTCCCTCTCCTCTCCCACTCTGTCTCTCCCCCCCCCCCCCCCCCGCCCCCCGCCCCCTTTCTCTCTCTCTCTAGGAGTTGGAGTTGTGTCGGCGGCTCTACAAGCTTCACTTCCAGCTGCTGCTGCTGTTCCAGGCGTACTGCAAGCTCATCAGCAGGGTGGACACCATCAAGAGGGAGGCAGAGGTAGCCCCTTCACCCTTCACCCACCGTGGACGCCTCCTCCGTCTCGCTCCCCTCATACACACTACAACACTACAACTACCACCGAGTGCTTGGCCCCTAGTGGGACTCGAACCCCTAACACCGGCTGTGTCAATGCCGAGCTCTACCAGTTGAGCTACACATAGCATTGAACCCCTAACCCTGGCAGTGTTAATGCCATGCTCTACCAGTTGAGCTAGACAGGGATTCGAACCCCTAACCCTAGCAGTGTTCATGCCATGCTCTACCAGTTGAGCTAGATAGGGAATCAAACCCTAACCCTAGCAGTGTCCATGCCATTCTCTACCAGTTGAGCTAGATAGGGAATCAAACCCTAACCCTAGCAGTGTTGGTGCCGTGCTCTACCAGAGTTAGACCACAGGATCATTACTTCCCGGTCCTAAATGGTTTCCAGTAAAAGCCAGAATGGCACCAGCAGCTCTCTGGGACTCTCTGCTCTGTAGCACTCTCCATTAGCAGACGCTAATTAGCAGACGCTTTTATCGGAAAGTGTTTATATACATGTAATTAAAGACCAGGTTGTTCAAGGAATGCCTCCAGCTAGACTGCAGCCGTTGGGGATCGAACCCAGAACCTTCCAGCACACCACAATGTTCTGCCATCCCAACACAGCGCATACCTCACAGTGTGTTTGTGAACTTGTGTGCGGTCTTGAACTCCTGCCATGGGAGTGTATCTTGGAGCAGAGATGTAGATGGACTGATCGATCGGAGAGAGGGTTCAGTCGGTCACCATCTCAGCCGTCGCTCCCCATCCCTCGCTCTGTGTTTTTATAGATCTTAGCGGGCTCTTTAATCAGATTAAAGATTTTTATGAGATTACATTCTCCTGGCATGGCCTTATAGGCTGGCTGGCCAGTTAATCACAGCTCAATACTGAGGAGACCAGCCACTCTGACGTCTGTCCCCACTTCAAACATGGCCACTGTTATCACTGTGCCCTAGTAGTCAGTGTCTGTCACTGTCTTCCCAGCTCCATCTTTCTGCCTGTCTCACTGTCCGTCTGTCTACTTATCAGGTCTTTCTTCCTGTCTGTCCATCTGTCGCTCTGCCTGTCTGTCTCTGTTTTTTATGTCTGTCCTACTGTCTGACTCCCGGTCTGACTTCTTGTCCATCTCCCGTCAGGTGACCAACATGTCGGATGAGCTGGCTCTGCTGGAGAGCTGTCTGAAGGAGGCGGAGACAGGAAGTGAGGGACAGGAAGTGATCTGTCTCTCGGACGACGCCCAGACCAACACGGAGACGGCCATCCAGTCGCTGATCGAGAGCCTGAGGGCCAGAGACTTCGCCTCTGCCCTCAACCAGGTCAAAGTCTTCAGGTAGGTCCACCAATCAAACGCAAGATGCTGTTACATTAAAGAGTAACACCACACTGGAGCACATGTGTAAGGATTGCTGCCACCTAAAAGTTAAAAATTATTAACATTAGTTTTTGATTTTAGCGATTCATTCAGTAATTTTAATTTCAGGAAAATACATGATATTGTTGCAGAATACCAAGACGTTTTACACTTTATACATGATTGAAGTGGTTAGTTGATGGAAAGTTTTTTTTATTTTCACGATATATGCAATAATATATATATTTGGATAGATGCTTAGATAGATGTATAGAATTTGGGTTAGTCCTAGAAAGACCAAAAATCCAATTCTGTGTTGCGTTGCGGATTCATTTTAATTGACCTCTAGATGGCAGCAAAGTAACAGCGCATGTAGTTGCTCTTTAAAACCTCCCACTACAGTGGCGACCAGAAGAGGGTGTTGATCCCTGACCTCTATGCTCCCCCCCCCCCCCCCCACGGCAGATCGCTCTGGCCCAGCGACATCTTCGGCAGCGACTCGGACGACGCGGTGCAGACCCTGCTACACATCTACTTCCGCCACCAGACGCTGGGGCAGACGGGCTGCCTGGCGGTGCTCGGCCCCAGCGGGGACCTCTCTCAGGCCAACAGCCGTCTCATGGAGCTCAACCTGCAGATCCGACAGGCGCTCAGCCAGGTGCAGGTCCCCGCCCGCCACACCCGGACCTCCATGGTCACATGGGGCTGTGAAACGTATCAAACGCACGCCCCCCCCTCACCCTAGAGACACTCTGGTGCTCCCTGGAAGTGGGCGCGGCCTTCAGGAGAGATGGGTGGGTGGGGGGAGGCCAGCTTCTGATTGGACAAGATAATAAGACTTCACCAATAAGGGCTAATGGACGTGGGGGGGGGGGGCGGGGGTGGGTGGGAGGGGAGGGGCTACCTGTGACTCATCGGTCTAGGCGATGACGTCGCAGAGTCCCCTCCCTCCCTCCTTCCCCTCCCTCCCTGGACTGATGCGCACTCTGCACATTCGGCTGCAATAAAGGGAGCGGACGCAGCTGGAGGAGCGGGCGGCAGAGACGATGCGAAAAAAGACATTTTATTTTTTCTTATCTCGTTGCTTTTGGTTGAGTGGTACAGAGCAGGGTGGGGGTGTGAGCGAGCTTTGCACTGGGGGTCCACCAGCTGTGCGTGTGTGTGTGTGTGTGTGTGCGTGCGTGCGTGTGTGTGTGTAGCGAGCGCAAGGCGAGAGAGCGAGAGAGCGAGAACGAGGGGGGGTAGGCTGTCCTGTCCACATCCTAAAGCAAACGCATTAAAAAAAAAAAAATCACATTTAAAAAAAAAAAAAAAAGAAGAAAAAAAGGGTTTTCAAAAGCATGCTTGAAAGAGAAAGCACTGCAAGAGTATTTTTTTGGGAGAAATGTATTTTTTAGTAGTGCTACTATCCTAGGTTGTAAATGTTTGGGTATTTAACATGTAACCCTGCGGGGGGGCGCTGTGCTCTCCCGTGGCTGTAAAAAGAGAAATATATCCGTTTATTGACCCGCGACTCTTTAACCAAATAAGTAGCTGCCTTTTAGAGACTTGTAACAGTGTGGTGTGTATTGGATACTCTGGTATACACACACCTATACACACACACACACACACAAAAACAAACACACACAGAAAACTGCATTTAATTGCACACGAGTGCAGACCGGCTCCTGCCTGCGAGGCGGGGGGACGTGCGTAACTTATTGTACTCTGTATATATTTTAGAAGGTGTATAGTGTAAAAGCAGTATTTTTTTGTGTAATGCACTGTTAGCCTGAGTGGGACCGGATGGAGGAGAGAACACTCTACTGTTGAAATCCAGTCACACACTTTAAAAAGAAAAACCTTTCCCAAACTCTGGCTTGCTTGATGCTTGTAAACTGGGTTGGGAGTCTTACATATTTTTATTATTTTTTGGGGGGGGGCGGGGGGGGGTGGGGAGTAGCGGGAGGCGGGGTTTAACCAAATCTCGACCAATGAAAATGGCGACGGTGGCGTGTAGCCTCTCCTATTGGATGGCCACAGCCTGTCCGAGCTGAGTCCTATGCATTCCTCTTTTTCCACTGTGATCCTTCCCTCTGTCCTCCCCCACTTCTCTCCCAGGTTTGTGTCGACTCCCCCCCTCCTCCCCTGTTTGATCCCGGTAGGGGGGGGGGGGGGGGGGGGGTGGGTGACGCTCCGAGGACAGTCCTCTCCCGGCACATTGTAACAATCACTGTAGTCTCCACAGAGCTTCTTGGCTTGCCTGCTACATTTAAAATGCTGTTATTAAAAATGGATATATTATTTACCTGGAAGAGATGCATTATGATTCTCACAACAGCCTTCACTCGGGACGAATAAAACTGATCATACAGTAAACATGGACCTGGTGTCGCGGCTCGTTTCTACCCTGTGTGTGTACAGTGAACTGTAGGCTTGCTGTGGTTAATGGTATGTCCTGACGACCCAATTAGAGAAGTGCATGGCATCGTACCCAACGGATCAATAATCCAGTTAGTGGGGCGCCAATCGGCCCGCGTCTCCGTCCGGAATACAGGACTGATTATTTTATTGGCCGGTTCTAAAAGAATCCAGCATATCTTTACATGTTTATCGGTTTGGAGGGGTAATATTCAATTACTCAACAGGAAAAGAAAACTCTAAACGCTAACCGTGGATGCGTGTGCCAGGTAGTTTATTTCAATACAGTCAACGCACAGCATCAAATCCTGAACCAAAACAAAAATAAACTGACAAGAACTTATGAAAATGTCAAATGTCCGCTCAGCGCCAGACTTCGTGGGCTGGGGGAAGGTGGGGGGGTGTGGGTTTCCTTCTAGATGATGTACTTGAAGCTGAAGGTGCTGTCGCAGGACAGCCGTTTGCCCTTGCACCTGCCGCACAGATCCTGCCTGTGGGGTCGCTTGGGGTCAACATGGCGCTGAGTCAACGCACACGAGCAGCGCGCTTTGTTGCAGGTCTGGAGGAAAAGAGGTCAAAGGTCAGTGGAGGAGCGCACAAAAACACACATGACGTCATTTTAGATGATTCCCCAAGTGTCTCACGTGACATCTTATGTCTTCAACGCGGTACGGGTTGAATTCCTTTTGGCATTTTCTGCAAAACTGTTTGAAATAAACCTGGAAGGATAAGTAGATGTTGTGGGGAAACACAAACACACAAAAAAACCAAACACACAACGGCAACATGTGCATGTTGTTGAGTCCAACGCCTTTACCTTATTGGTGCCCTGGACGCACCACACGTACGCGCTCTCCCACCGCAGGTTACACCCTCTGCAGTGATAATACCCGTACTTCTGCTCGAGAAACTGGACACGACACACACATCCCGTTACGCACGTTTTACGCACACGCAGCGCAAGCAGTAGTAGATTGAAGTGGGGGGGGGGGGGGGGGGGTCAGGTGGCAACTCACCTGGAACCGCACGCGGGCCTTGATTTTGGACCCTTCCTTGACGGGTTCTGACGCCTCGGCTTTCAGCGGCTTCTTGGCCTGAACTTTACGCAGCTGGGCGGCAGCGGCGGCCTTGGGCTCAACGCCCGCCACTCGGACGTCGCCGCCGTCGTTGTTGTTGTTGTTGTTCTCGTCCTTCGGCGCGTCGCTCTCGTCCTTCGGCGCGTCGCTCTCCAAAAGCGGCTCCTCCCCGCTCGCCACGTCACATGAGCCGCCGCCGCCGCCGCCATCGCCATCCTCCTCCTCGGCGGAGAAGAACGACGTGATCGACCGGTACGCGATCGGCGAGTAAACGGCGAGGGTGCGAGGGTAGCGCACGGTGCCGCCGCCGCCGCCCCCCACGCCGCCGCCGCTCCCGGTGCACTTTTTGGCACCCTGCGCGCACTCCCGCGCCCTGCGCCTGCAGAGCGCCTCAAGCTTGGACAGCGCCAGGGTGCGGTGTCCGATG